TTTCACCAAAAGCCCGAGTATGGCACTGGGCATGGTCCATCCACAACTCAGCAACATACATATGGAGCATGGGTGGCCACAGATGGCTCCCCTCTTACCCCACCCCATCAGAGGCAGCACAGAGAAGGGCCTCACCAAATGTGAGTAAAGAGGGGCTCAACTAGAGCCTCTGCGCCCACTGGAATAGTGGTTTCTCCTCAAGCGGAGAAGGAACCTTGGGGGAAAAAAAGAGGTGATGGAGAGGGAGCGTCCAACAATTAGGATAATCAAAGAAAGTAAATCCTAGCCAAGGCAAGCCCAGGCATGCAACCCCTCCAGGTCCACTGTTCCTGAAATGATGGGGGAGCATGCACTGAGAGGCCATTGCAACTGGCAAAAGGCCTATAGACAAATTACAAATGTTTTTGATGTTTCTGTTAGGCCAGAGGAAACACAATAACTGAGGTGGTTGGGAGTGAAGGCCCTCTTTATTTTCGTTGTGGATGATGTGTTCCCTGTTTTATGTGGGCGGATCCCCTCTCTCCTGTGTTGTCCTGGAAGATGAATTGGGAAAATCTACTTTTGTCGAACACGGTGCTGCCAACTGGGCCACCCACAGCTTGAATTTCAGTAATGCGTGATCAGTTTTTAATTACGGTATTTTTTTTTAGCACAAAGTCCACTTTAATGTGTTAGAATCCATTGTACTGCATTTTAATGCTGTAAAACATGTTTACAAATGCAGCAAAAACATGCAAAGCTGCAGAAAAATACAGAGAACATAAAATTAGAGCTGCAGCTAACGATTATTTTCAAAATCGATTAGTTAGCCGATTATTAGGTTCGATTAATCGGTTAATCGGATAAACAATAAAATAAAGTTTAAAAAATTGCTCCAGTGATGGGACTACTAGTTTGTATTGAAAATATGTGTTAAAGACAGGCACTAAAACACCATAGTAGATCACTAAATATATTTTCTGGTTGTTAGAGAATACTGCGCTTTGTTGCTTGTCTAAGTGGATAAGCGTGTGTGTTTCTTTCTACAAACAAGGGGCAGCACCCTCATTTAGAATGAATCTGTTGCAATGACATTTCTCATTGCCACAATAATTTCAGTGGGTACCAATATCGCCAAATATCCATCTTGAACTAACAGCGCAGCTTGCGAAGATGTACCAAGATCACAATAAAAATGCTAAAAGCATAAAACAGTTTTACTTCTCAAGCACCCGGCTACAGGTATTGTTACCACACATTCTTGATTAACCTATTTAGCTGGTTACAATAAAAGCTCTCACTGCTTCCCGTGGATGCTAAAGAGCATCTAATCTACAGCTCCAGCCAATGGAGACGTGGAAGGATGCACAAAAGGTGATTTATAAATAGCACAGAACAGCAGTAAAGCTTAGATTTATGCTATCCACCCGTTTTGTTGTTTTCCCTGCTCAGTGGTCTTATTTGTATTACCTGTTTATATATTCTGGTTTTGCTTCTTTTTTTTTTTTTTTTTTTAATCAAGTGATATATCTAATGAAGGACCATCTGCTCAACATGACTTGTATCTGTTGTCTGCATTCATTCTGGAAATACAGAGACATTTCTAGAAATGCTGTAGAAAATGTACAGCCATATTGCCCACAGCTTTGAGGGCTTTGGCACCTATAATAAACAATTACATTGCAAACAGGCTTATTCATTAAGGACCGATTCACACTTTGCTGTTCTTGCACGTTACAATAACAAAAGTGCGTTGTGTTCACGTTAACGTGCTTTGCGATAAGGCATTCTGAATGGGTAAAGCAGCATTTTTTGCAATGCAGTGAACCTCTATGCACAGTAATGCATGTGTCAGAACTGCCCCGCAATGTGCTAACACGTGTATGTGCATTGATGTTTGCACCGCAATCAAAAAGTATGATTCACCCCTCAGGGCCCATTCACACCTCATCCAGATCATCTCCAGACCAAACCAGATTGTTTCCGGACTCAAAATTAATTTGAACGTATTCTTATGCTGTTTCTGGACTCCACACCAGCACAGTCCGTTCCGGACCAGACCAGCAAAATACTTCATGTCTCATTTTGTCTGGTCTGGAATGCACTGGAACGCATGGAAACGCATCAAAACGCATACAAACACACTGGAACGCACCTGAAAGCCCATTTTAAAGTTTAAAAAAAAGATCCATAAAGCGGCAAAATCGCGGCAAAACGCAATGCACTGCGTTCTAGATCTGGATTGGGAAATGGTGTGAACCTGCCCTTAAACTGTGCAAGCGGCAATTTTCATTTTTAAAAAGATCCAGCACAACCAATCACATTTCTGTACTTAGATCACCGATGCTTTGTGTTTAGTTGCTTTCGGTTACTACCTATTGCCCTTTGCAACACCTTAATGAGCAAAACCAATATTACAAAAGGGTAATTAAACACACCGTATATTTAATATGATTATTGGAGTTGTTAGTATACCCAACATGATCCCTAATCACTGTGCCATTGTAGCCTTCAAATCTCTTCTGTTTTTTTAAATATATAAACAATTAAAAGCAATCCATCATATGGCACGTAGAGGACACCTCTACTGACAAAATACTATGACTGCTGCTAAAGACTTGACTGTTATTCAGATGCAAAGGCTTCAAGTGCGCAGATCCAGGGATCTGACGTTCCTTTGACTTCACTAGCTGCATGCTTGTCCTGTATTCGTGACCAATAAAACATGTAGCCAGACAACTAGCTTTACTAGGTCAGCAACAGCTGTCCCCACATCTCCCTTAGTATAGCTGTGCTTTAAAAGAATCCAGTGTATTCTATAAACACTTTGCAGTACAGTTTGGTAAAAAGGTTCTGAGCCTCAGGAAAGAAACTGAGATTGGGACAAGTAACGGGGAAAATATGATATTGTTTTTGGTAAATCTGCCTGTAAATCTAACACAAACCTCTTCATATTTTACAAGGACTGCAACGTTTTGGTTTTACATGTATTTATGTTAATTAATACAAACATCAATTGGAGCATGTTGCTCCAATTGTACTAATGAAACACAGATAAGTGTGGCAAAACAAATGCCATCCTGTGCACAAACATGGGTATGGTTGTATGGATGGTTACATAAATTGAGGAGCTGTGCACCAACTGGAGAAAGGGAAAAGATCAAACTCACACATCCAAGTGTACAACTCTAAAAAGAGTCTGCCCATTACATTTTAATAAGAAATATTTTATGCAAACAAATAAAACCATTATCCTTGATCCCCAATCTACACACAAAAGAAATGTGTTGATGCCTTAAAGAAGAACTTCCCTGCACTGCAAGAGTTAACTGCCCAGTTTGGTCTAGGGGCTAAAATTAAGAAGATATACTCACCTCATCTTTGGCCCTGTAGCAGTGACCGCTCACCTCTTTCCCTCTCCTCTCCCACTGTGGAATGTTCCTCAGCGTCCTCATGTCTAATACAACTGCATTAGATGTGAGGACATCACGGGTCCTTAGGCTGCAGGAGCCCAGGGGAGAAGAGGCTGCAAGAAACAGTCTAGCAGCCAAGTGGGACCGAGGGTCAGGTGAGTATGTCTTCTTTATTGTAGACCAAATCGTGCAGTTATCCCATACAGTGCAGGGGTAGCCCCACTGGTAACAGTTAATTTTTCGATTGCCTGGAGTTTTTTAATACTAGCAACAATAGAAATCACCCACATCCTGCATTATAACATATATAACATACAGCGCAGCTCAATAGAATTGAATGCTCTTATGTAGAAAGTTTATCTGGTAGCAAGGGATAAAGGCTGAAAAGAAGGATGCAAGGGAACAACCAAAAATCAGAGTCAAAAGATGGGACGTTATATAAGATAGATAGATTGATTGATTGTCCTCTCATGTTAAGTGCAAGAGAATGTTCTGACAACTGTCTGACTTTCTGTAAACGTTACTGTTAATCACAGGAACACACTAGACCATCTATTTTCAACCAGGGTTCCCCCAGAGATTGCTATGGGTTCCTTGAGCTGTGTCTGATTGATCTACATCTGATGATGCCTGCATAGTTTCGGGTCCAAAGCTGCTTTGCAGAAACAGGGGAATGATACCAATGGTCTATTTAGCTGTGTGAAGGGGGGTCATTGTGATCACCTCTATAAGGGGACATTCTTACCACTGACCACTAACGTAAGGAGCATCCCTCTCATTGACCACCATTGTAAGAGGCATTCTTCCCAATGACCACTAACATATGTCACATACTTCCCAATGACCACTAACATACGTGACATACTTCCCAATGACCACTAAAATAAGGGACAGTCTTCCACTGACCACCATTGTAAGGGACCTACTTCCCACTGACCACCAATGTAAGGGACCTAATGTAAGGGGCATCCCTCCCACTGAATACCTTTTGTAAGGGGCATCCTTCCCACTGACCTCCTTTGTAAGGGGCATTCCTCCGAATGACCACCATTGTAAGGGGCATCCTTCCTACTGACCTTCATTGTAAGGGGCATCCTTCCCACTGACCACCATTGTAAGGGGCATCCTTCCCACTGGCCACCAATGTAAGGGGCATCCTTCCCACTGACCACCATTGTAAGGGACGTCCTTCCCCCTGATCACCATTGTAAGGGGCATCCTTCCCACTGGCCACCAATGTAAGGGGCATCCTTCCCACTGACCACCATTGTAAGGGGCATCCTTCCCACTGAGCACCATTGTAAGGGGCATCCTTCCCCCTGATAACCATTGTAAGGGGCATCCTTCCCAGTGACCACCAATGAAGGGACATCCTCCCCACTGGCCCCTGATGAATTCTTCTAGAACGGGTCCCCTGAGACTTGAAAATTATTTTCGGGGTTCCTCTGGGGGTAAAGGCTGGTCTAGACAAACCTGAGTGCGGTTTGGGATCTAGGTTCATCTGATATCCCCCTATACATCCTGTAGAAGTGATGACACGATCTGCAGCGCAAAGTGTAAAAGGCAGAGGATGAGTAGAAGCCGAGGATGAGGATGATGTGTAATTACCCCAGAGGATGCGCTGGCTGCACACAGGATAGGGGGCAGTTTGTCTCGGGGTTGCTCCTCTTCCATGTGGCTCTCTGCAGAGATGTTGTCAGGTCCGGCGCCCGGGGAGCTCTGCAGAGACATCCTAATCGGAGACAAGGAGGAGGCTGACCCTGGACCTCACAGCAGCCTCTCAGAGTGGACGTTCCTCCAGCAAGGAGAGCCCCTGGCCAGTCCTCCGGGCCGCATGTCATCGGGGCTAGCAGCAGCAGGTGACCGGCAGCCCCCCCATTGTGAAGAAGTCAGGACGGAGTCAGCGCCTTCTCCCTCTGGCATTGACCTTCTCCGCCGTGCTACGCTGCACCTACAGTCTTCTTAGTCGCCATGTTGTTTATAAGATGTTCCTGGAGACCGGCTTGGAGACAAGAGGGGGGTGTCTTTCCTTTTTTTTTATTCGGGGGCCAAGATACGCCTTTTGCGCAGGGACTGTTCAACTTCGCCTCTGACGCCGCTTGCGTAGACGTCGTTAGTGAATAGCAAAGAGTGCTTAAGACGAAGCGGAGGCTGCAGTGTCAATGTAGAAAATCCCTCCCAGCAGCCGTGGCTGGCAGCCAGTGATAGCACACCCGGCTCATCATGGGTCGGTGCCAGCCCTTCTCCCCTTCTTTCCTGGTTCCTGAGCCCTCTCAGGGCAATGACTAGCTGGATGTGTTTAATTACCATGAGTTTCTTCCTCCTCAGGATGGGGGCTGTAGATTGGCACAGACAGAGAGATGACATAGTTTCAGACTGTGCTCATATCCTGATCAGCCAAAGGCAATATAACCACTTCATCTCCAAACTTCATTTCTGTACACATCGCAAGACTTCTCCACTAAATGCTCAAGAGGATTCAAATGTAAAAAAAGCCATCGCTTCACCATTTACCAGCAGTCTTTGCAGACGTTAGCACACTTCATGCAGTTACTTCCATCGGTATAGAAATTGCTATAGCTTGCATACAAAAAAAAGCAGCTTAGTAAATGTGATGTGTTTTGGGGCAAGTGAAAGCCGCGTCGGTTTTTGCACATGCACAAAAAGTACTCAGCTATGCGGCGGGAATGGTGTGTCACATGACTCCCAACTGTCTGTTTTTGGGAACCAAATCCCTCTCCCTCAATCATCCCCCTTTTTTGTCTCATACATAGACCTCTATAAGAATGCCATTTAAAGAAGAACTCCAGGCAAAATTTGTATTAACCTTTGCAGTGGGGCTATTAAATGCAAATCCCCCCCATGCTGGTGTAAGGACTTACCTTAAATGATGCCTCCTTATCCAATTATCCTCTTCTTTCCTGTAGTTTTCAGGAGTTTCTCCAGTTCTGGTGCCGGTTTCCGACCCAGCGCTGACTCCTCTGTCTTCCTGGCACTTCCTCTCCCACGGAGTCTGGGCGGGAGCAGGCTGCCTCCATTGAATTACCTTGTGTCTCTCCTCGTCTCCCGGCCAAAGATCTGTACTGTGCATGCGCCCGCCTCATGATCCTTTGCGGCCGCCCGAGAATCTTCAGATCTTTGGACGGGAGCACGCGGCAGAGACACAGGTAAGTTTTAACCCTTTTAAACCTTTTTTTAAAAATGTTTTTGCATATATCTAGTGCTTGCTAGCAGTAGATCTATGCAAAAAAATGGGAGGGCCACTGTCAGAATACATGAACAGAAAGAAGAATTTCTAATAGTATATGGCCCAAATTCAAATAGTGTATGGCAAGGCTGGCTTCACACCCATGCACTTCCACTGTCATGTTTTTTTCAATACACGTTTATATGCGCATACACATGTTTTTCTGGAATTATGTACTCAGCATCTAGGTAGGTGTGAGAAGAGCCTGCCATTTTCCAAATGTAGCTAGGCCAAGAGCTCATGGCCCTTTTCCCAGCGGCTGGTCTCAGTAACAATATATGTATCATGCGCTCTTTTTGACTTCTATGGGCCCCCTATGCACATCGACTGATAAAAAATGTACCTGAGCTATTTTTCATGATGAGCCGCAACACATACATGTATACCAGACCCATTAATAACAATAGGATGCCAAATAACATGCGGCATAATGTGCACAATGCGCTGCAAAGATGTAAACAAATGGTTGCATTTGTTATCTTAAAGAGCCAGTATAATGAATAAAAATGATGGAAAAAGTACATGCAGGTTTAACCGATAATTTTTTCTTTTTGTCATGGCCCACGTAACCGGGGACAAGATGATGTGTCCTTTAGGCCTCACTCACACGAGAAACAGCTGGTATGTACAGTTCCATTTCCTGCCTGACCTCACACATTTATGTGGCATTGCAGAGGTGGGTTTCCTCTATGGTACCACATATATGCAGCATGTTTTTTTTGCTGGAAGCACTTCCAATACAGTGACCAAGCTGTCTCCATATGTTCCTGATTTTGAATCATGTGGTCGCTGACCCCTTAAAGGGCTGGTGACAAGGGGTTAACATTTATGAACTGATTTGTGTTTGCAAGGCCTCATTCACATGTGAAACGGCCGGCACGTACAGCTCCGTGCACGGCCGTATCGGGCAGCTCCCGGGAAGGACAGGTGCTGCGTGTGATTAGTACGCAGCCCCTGTCCTTCTCTATGGAACTATGCGGCCCTATGCTCACCCGCCCTGCATGTCCGTGCGTCTGTCCGTACTCGTACTCTGACAGGATGGATCCTGTATGCGTGCGAGCCGGGACACCGGCACCCATACGGACCTGCACTTGGGGTGAGTTTAGGGCGGCTTACGGCCGCGTAGTCCCATAGAGAAAGTCAGAGGCTGCGTACTAAACACACACAGCAGCTGTCCTTCCCGGGTACTGCCCGATATGGCTGTGCACGCAGCACGGTGCTGTACGTGCCGGCCGTTTCTCGTGTGAATGAAGCCTTACCGATATATTTTGTGCTAAAAGGTGTCCCCTTTTTCTCATCTCAGAGAGCTGGGAGGTCTGGTTATGTAGCACAAGCACACTCTTTTTATACTCCCAGATGTGCACCCAGATGTACTTCTTTCTCATTCATTTAGAGCCAGACCTCCACAGCAAACCCCCGAATCACAACGCGGGGACCTCTATACATCTTGTAAACACATCTTTTAAAAAAGTGTTATTCTGCTGTATCTCATAGCCAAGTCATATTTCTCCTGGCACTTGGCGCTCAGAGCAGGTATTCCAGTAGTTGTAGTGTTTGGAAAGATTCATTACCACAAGTGGAAACTGTATTTTTGATCCACTTTCAGTCCATGCATGAAGTGAAATTAGCGTAGCTGTATTTTCCTTATGGAAAGTGTTATTCAGATGTCCTACTGTGCAGTCGAAAATAAAAATAGAAATCCACTCTTTTTTTTTTTGTCCACTTTACAGAAGCGTCTCATTTTAAGTTGAATTTATTCTGGCAGGCCGCACAGAAAGTGAGCTCATTCTCTTGGACGGCATCCTGATTTTATCTTTGGATGCGTACAGTGACAGCGCCCTAGACGTACTGAAAATGTGTAATTTTATTGATTGAAAAAAAGAAACTGCCCACGTTCCACTTGAAGGAAGGGACGGTGAAGAAAATAATTGATTTCATAATCTGCACAGCTGCCAAAGTGATGTATTTTGTTATTCATTGATGAGGATAAACACTTGTATGCTTTTGTTAAGGTTTCCATAGATATTTAGAAATACTTAGGTATAAGATAAATATTGACAGACAATACGAACACTTACAGTGTAGTGTAAACAAAATATCTGTCTGTTGAAATATATGAAAGAAGACAGAGGAACAATGAAGGGTATTTATGAAAACTGGGGCTGACAAAATCTGGAGCAGCTGTGCATGGAAACCAATCAGCTTCTCTCTTTCATTTTCAAATCCTAACTGAACAAACTGAAGAGAGATGCTGATTGGTTACCATGCACAGCTGCTCCAGATTTTGTCTGAACCAGTTTTGATTAATTCCCCCCAATGTATTTGTATAATGTAAACTTGCGCATATGAAGAAAAAAACCCACATACATAGGTTACCTTCATTGCGTGTTAAAGAAGAACTTCACCCGTATTTTTAAAATGACAACAAAGACACCTTTAGAAATGTTTAGTGATAGCAATCTACAAACACATATAGATAATTGTCGGCTTTTTATTCTTTGGATGCCTTATTTCTCTTACATAGTTACATAGTTAGTCAGGTTGAAAAAAAGACACATGTCCATCAAGTTCAACCTGTAGAGATATAAAAAGAAAAAGCCTAAAATGAGCGCTATGCCCACTATTACTCACTGTTAATCCAGAGCAAGGCAAAAAAAAACCCTATAAAGCATGATTCAATTTGCTCCAACGGGAGAAAAATTCCTTCCTGATCCCATAAGGCAATCGGATATTCCCTGCATCAACAATCTCTGATGCTTAGTATACCTATAAGAACTCAATTTCCAATAATATTCTGTGCATTTAGGAAGACAGACAGATTTTTTTTTAAAAACAATTAACTGAGCTAGCTAGAACAAGCTCCTGGGGGAGTCTGTTCCACATTTTCACAGCTCTTAACGGTTAAGAATCCTTTCCGTATGCAAAGGTTAAACCTCTTTACCTCCAGACGCAAAGAGTGCCCCCTTGTCCTTTGCAGTGACCTTAAAGTGAATAATTTGGCACCAAGCTCTCTATATGGACCATTTATGTATTTATACATGATGATCATGTCCCTCCTTAATCGCCTCTTCTCCAGAGAATACATATTCAGGTCAGTTAATATTTCCTCATAGCTGAGCTCCTCCATGCCTCTTATGAGCTTAGTCGCCCTTCGCTGCACCTTCTCCAGTTCCACAACATCCTTTATGTGAACCGCGTAGTCCATAGAGAAAGTCAGAGGCTGCGTACTAAACACACACAGCAGCTGTCCTTCCCGGGTACTGCCCGATATGGCTGTGCACGCAGCACGGTGCTGTACGTGCCGGCCGTTTCTCGTGTGAATGAAGCCTTACCGATATATTTTGTGCTAAAAGGTGTCCCCTTTTTCTCATCTCAGAGAGCTGGGAGGTCTG